AGTAGTTCTGTGGTTGCCAGTGGTTACGAAGTTCAGGTCGCGACACAACACTCTCATAATTATTACGTAACTTCGATATCATCACCAATATTGAAAATAAGTCGTGTAGACAAATTAAATTCATTCTACGTTGGTACTGGTGTTTAAGGCCCCGAAGGAACAGAGAGATTTTGAAGTCACTCGCAGCAAAGCAGACATCTTTATAACTATATTAGCATATCAATTTTATAGGTTAAAACTAATGATCCGTTAATTGCCATCATCTCACCAAAATTCTTAGAGAAATTTTCGTGTTGTTTTTTTCCCAAAAGAAAAAAGTACACCAACAAAAACTGTACACTTATCAATCTATAAAGCTTTTAGACCCCAATTTTAATGGTTGTACAGTTGCTCCCGTATCATCGAGGCACACTACGACAACACTGACACAATTCAGTGTGAAACAGAGGTTGTCACGGTACCATGAATCAGGTATATCAAGTCTACAAAGTTACATATTATTACTCCAAGGTTAATTACAGCCAACGGTCTCATTGGCTTGGCTTTGTCTCGTACGATTACATTTTTTTAAAAAAAATTAAGAGTTTAATTTTGACTTCATGTGGATCAGGTGTTATAATTTAAACTTATGAACAGAAATTGAGTTTCCCCTATTTTCTTGGTGCAGACACTATCAAATTTAATCAAAATTTGTCCAGTAGGCAGTTTGGAAGATAAAACTGTACAAATGGTTTAGCCGTTGAACCTTCGTTTTGTGCACTTTGTGCAAAGAACACCCGTATTAGCAGATATTTTGTATTCATTGTGAAAATGAACGCGTTGTATACGTAACCAAGAGAAGAGACAGCAGTGATACTTGTGCCACTGTTGCCCGTTGCACTGTGATAGTGCCGCTCGTAAATATCATGAGGCAGGGGGGCGGAATAATCTCGGTGCGCGCGCGCGGGCGATCCTAATCTTCCGCGTTCTCACCACACAGCAAGACAGAGCGGGAGAGTCGAACCAAGATGATAGAGGGATCAGCCTATTGCGTCGCAACACTAAATTCCTGTGACTTTAAGTTCAAGACTTTCCGATAGCAAATATTAGTTGCTTCTTCCAAGTTCCTTCATCAGAAATAAAGCAAAGAGGGAGCTGAAGTGACTTGGAAATGTCTGTCTTATGAAGCAGTGAGTAAAGAGTCTCGATGTATCTTCTGATTTTCTCATCTTTTTCTCCCAAATTTATTTCTCTTATTTCTTGTCATCCTTTCTTACCACCTTTTTTCTTCAATTACCCTTTCTGGCTTTCTTCCTCTTCTCATTTCTTTCGCTCCACGTATCTTTTATTTCTACTTTTATTCTTCTTGTCCTTCTTTCATCCCACCTTTTTCCTGACCCTTTACTTTCCCATTTCTTCCTTTTATTTCTACCTTTTTCTTCTTCCTTGATTTTGTCATATTCATGTTCTCTTTCATTCTCACCCTCCGTTACTCCGTTCTTTATCATCATTTCTTTCAGCCTTTTATATATCTTTTTCATCTCACTCTTCCTTTGTTTCTGTTCTTTCTCTCCTCTTTTATTTCTTTACCCCAACCAATAATTCTCGTACAAAATCCTGATCTTTGCGCCCTTCCTACTTCCAGTGCTTCATGTGTGTGTGTGTGTGAGAGAGAGAGAGAGAGAAAAACCGTCGGTGTGTGTGCGAGAAGGAGACAAAGACAGGGATGTGTGACATCATGGCCGTCTTGCTCCCAGTTTGTAATTAAGGGGAGAAGGTCCCGCAGTTCACTGGACGTCCGCCACTGTTGGATTCTGATAAGGACCACGGTAACTGCAGTAGCAGAGGCGACGAGGCGACAGGCTAACATGAACGGTCGTCTGGGGAGCTCTCCCTCTTCTTGCTTTACACCCTTCCTCTCTCTATCTCTCTCTTTATCACCCCTTCTAACCCCTTCTATATTTTGTGATGCTGCTGCTGCTTTGCTTACTGTAATACGGTATTACTTCAGCCTGGTCATCACCGAGAAAGACGGCTTAAAAATGCACACGTACCGAGGAAATTCCAGCAACGTTTGCTTCAGTGTGTATGAAAAAATACGCATCGCGTGGAAAGCACTTTACTCCTGCGTAATCTCCGTTCCTTTATTAATAGGTGTAACCGTACACAGAGCTTAACGCTACAAGACAATGGTAAAGGATGTGTATGTAGATGAAGTTACTTCACAGAATAATCATCGACTTTGAAGATAGCTGTATTCTGGGATGTTGCATCGTGTAATCTGGCAGAAATTGACTGACGTTTCAGAGGTATACATTGTGTCTCAGTCATCGTTGGCCTTTGAAATCGTGAAGTATTGCATTTTATTTCAGGTACGGACTGAATTCTTAAATATTATTTAGACGGACTTCGGTTTGAAAGGGTTAAGATTAACAAATTACATGTTATAAATATTACAATGCGGTTAAGAAATGTCTTTAGTGTATTTAGCTTTTGTAGCAATGAATTTGTTTCTGCTGTAAAAGAATACCAAGGCCAATGAAAATGCAAAACTGCAGAGAACGCTTCAAAACCTATTAATGCGCAGATTTGTAAACTGTTTCTGGATCGAAGAGATGGGAGCAGATGCAAAAGCAGTCACCGTTTTAAATAACTCCAAATGCTTGGGCAGTTCCTTTCACCAAACATGGATGGTTAATGAGACTGCTCGCCTTTGCTTGTACATTTTCACTTTGCAATTAATTTGTCTGGAGTTTATTTTTTCCAATTAGCGATGATATCATTACCCCATTCATATCACTAGAGTACTTAAACCAAACATTAATACATACTTTATTTGGGTAGCCTTGTTTATACTATGGATGCAATTCTGCAACATATATGCATCAGTAAATAAACATTTTCAAGAAATCTAACTGCAACGACAGACAGGTCTTTTCATAACTGTGTAAGCCACACTTGGGAGGTTCCTTGCATCAGGATGAAGTACACTGAGATTTATGATTCGCGGTGGACACAGCCATCCAACCAGTTGATATCACTGTTATGGACAAACCTACTAGGTAACTAAATATATCGCTTCTTCATACAAAGTACATTATATCTTTGAGGATATGCCATTTCTCTTCTGCTGCTTGTCTCTTCTTGAAGATGACTGTCTTCTGGGTTGTAGTGCAAGAACCTCTGAAACGTCGGTAAGCTTCTACCAGACTACGGCGCTACAAACCAGAAGACGGCCACTTTCGGACTCACCACTC